TTTTTTTTTCTTTAATTTTTCAGTTGGGGTATAGTGAGAGTGGAACCTAGAGAAGAAAAGAAGCCAAGGCTATAAGTATAGCATGACACAGAGAGAAGGTTTGCTCTTTTGCTCTGAGTTTGGTGAGCTTGGAACTGCTACCCTTACCTGGGCCTGGAGTTGAAGGACTGGCATTCCATCTGGATGGGATTTATCACAATTTGATAACTTTATAATTTGATAACTCAACTTTGTCATTCAAAGATAAAAATAATTGCTATCATTTATTAATGACTATTATATGTCAAGTACTATGCATAGATTTTTTATTTAACATGTATTATTTAGTTGTCACGAAAGTGCTGTTTTTATCTTATTTTATCATTGGGGAACTTCAGTTTGTGAAACTTGTCCAAGGTCACATGGAATTTGTTGGCAAAACTGGCATTGTTATCCAGAGTAGACTGGTCCTGAGTACAGCTCTTAGCCTTTTTGCCACACAGCTTCTCCTATTTATGGTCTGATAAGAATAAGAAGCCTGCTGCCCATTCTCAATCTAAAATAGAAGTGCCTAAATACTGCAGGTGGGTTGCAAGGATGCTAAAGAAATGTAAATGAAATTCTGGGGCAAATAAGAATGTGCCAGGAGTCACTCGGGAGAAGGCAAACTGCCTCGGCAGAGGAAAGAGTGGTGGGGCCAGACCACCCAGAGGTGCACGGTTCAGAAGTCACTGGTCCTGAAGCCAATGATGGGACATCTCAGAGGGTAAGATGAGGGAGAGAGAAGATGGAATATGACTGTTTCCAAGGTGATAACTGTGAACTATTGTGCTGACAGGAAAGGGGACCCTCAGAAGTTGTACAGGGCTTAGGAACCCCAGAAACTATCTTCTGGGATAATAATATTAGATGCAAACATAGTGAAGTGTTACCACAAGCTGCTGTCTGCCAGCCACGTAGGGCCATGCAGATCTCTGCAGCCTGCTGCTTCTGGTCACTGGCATCCACACATTCACTCTTTCCTCTCTCATGCAGCTCTTGCAGGAGGCCACCATGAGCTCACTCTGGTGCTCAGGGACTGGAGATGTCATTGAGGACTGGTGTCGATGTGACTCCACAGCATTTGGAGCTGACGGACTCCCCACCTGTGCGCCTCTGCCACAGCCTGTGTATGGTTCCCTTTCTCTGCCTCTCTCTTGCATGTCTACATCAGCATCATTCTGGAAAACAAAAGCAGAGTCTACTTTTTGCAAGCTGAACACTGGATCAGAATGCAAAGCATTGCGCAGTGCCTGCCTTGGAGGAACTTTCTATCTAGTGGGGGAGGCAGAATACAAATTGTAATAGTAAAAGAAAGTGTAGCAGGTGTTACACACATTGACATAAAGTGAGAGGAGGGCTTGTTTGGATCTGAATGTGAGGAATGGCAAAGGTGTCACGCACATGCATTTCTCCTTGAAGGTACAAAAAGTGAGACCTCAGAGCTACAAAATAACATTGTCATCACAATGGAGGAAATTAGAGACCACTAGTGAGCACGTAGCTAGACCAGCAGTACTACCACTTGCGGGACACTACCTGGGTACCGGGCACTGTGTGGAATAGGGAGTTACTATTATCACAGTCCATCTAGTTAATAAATGAGGAATTGGTAAAAATGGATTGATACTTTGTCCATTGTGATAGAACAAGAAACAGGGATGTGACTCTGAGACCATGTTCTCAGGCATTATAATATGGAAAGTGTACAATTGAGAAGTGGTTCTTGTTAGAATCAACAACAGGTCTTGGTGGTGATTGACTACAGGGATGAGAAGAAAGGAGAAGCTGAGAATGGATTGCAGGTTTATGACCTGGGTGGGTAGGAAGAGGGGCCGAGGAAGGAAGCATCAATATCCTGCCAGTGTGAGAGGGGAGGCCAGTTTCACATGGACTTCCCTGGGTTTATGATGGGTAGCTCCGTAGTTCATAGAGAGAAGAATGGCATTCTGTGAAAAAATAAATACTAGAATAAGATGATTTCAGTTGATTCTCAATAATTGGGTGGTGGAACTACGGCTGTGATAGAGGATGCCCAGGCATGAGAGTTAGCTGTGACGGTCAGAGTGTTAAGGCGGGCATTAGGGCAACTCTGCATCTGAGGAATGAGGAGGATGGCATGCTGCAGAGGTGCCTAGGAAATGGACTTATTGTATTTTCTCCCTCTCAATGGAAAACTAAATAGAATGGGTCAAACAGAGGTGCCAGGGCTTGACGCAGGAACTCAGCTTAGCCGTGCCACCGACCATGGGAATGAAGCCCCCAAAATAGGCTGTCCACACGAAACAGTACTGCTAGGACAGGCTGGTGGAGCTCCACCCCATAGGCTGGGAAGGCAAAGAAAGCCCAGAGAGAAAGCCAGTTAATACAGTGGGGTGGGAGCCAAGTAGGAGAATCTGGAGATTCACCAGGTAAGAAAGTTACCTTTGGAAGTAAGACTGAAGCCACTGAGCAGTTAGCCAAGGGACACGAACTCCAGTCACTGTGTCCCAAGGCTAACTTCATGTCTATTCCATATATTAAATGTCAGCCCTGAAGATAAAGTTAGGCTAAAGAACCATAAACAGGAAGTGTCTATTAAGGACACTATTTTTGGTCAACTCTCATTACTTCTCTCAGTAACAGAGTCTAGATTCTTGCATTTTAATTGGCAGTTAAAAATAGAAATACAATCTAATTTTACACAAGTTCATGTAAATTATACACTTTTATTTCTCAGTACAGGCTAGGCTTGGTCCATATTTTCACAGAATTTGAGTTCTCAGAAGGCTTAGTTACTTACTTCAGCTTCCTAATGCCTTTTCTTCAAAATAGCATTCTGCATATGACTCTAATTAATGATTTTGTCAATATCCGCACTGTTCTGGATCTATTCCACCTTAATGTCATATGCAAACTATGCACGCCTTCATAGTAGTAGCCCCTAGCAGAAGAACATGTGCTTCTTATTATTTCCATGCTAGTTGAACACTTTACTGCTTCTTCCACAGTGTCCCATGATTTCTTGTTGAGGTTCTTATCACAAGTGTAATGGTTGTGGTTCTGGGGCTAGGCTGGGATGTGGGCCACTGAATCCCAGCATCCAGTGATCCTTACAAGTACCAGGCACTTCATAAATATTTGTTGAATTAAAATTAAATATTGCAGATTGTCTGAGGCAGTCCTTCTGGAGTGTCTTGTCCGGTGATCCTTGAGACCAGGGAGAGGCACCTGTGCACTAAGGGGACAGGAAGGAAGCCAGGATGGTGAATGCTTGTGTGATGCAAGAGCCCAGGCATCCTTGGAAGGGAGGGAGGCTGGGGATCAGGAACTGGGAAAACCCTCAGATCCAGTGGTCTAGGAAGAAACAGGGAATTGGAAGCAAGAGGGAAACCTGAGCCACATACAAGAAGTCAGAACAAGGCAGTGAATTGAAACCACTTGGGCAACTGGGAGATGAACACCAGTGAATGTCAGCAATAATTACTGAGTTTCTAGGAGCCGCAAAGAGTTATGAGATGGCAAGGCAAAGCTGTAGTCAAAATGGACAGCTTGTCAAGAGGGAAGAAATTATGAATTGGGAAAAACAAGTAGAGACTGGAATCAGGAACCAGGATATTCATAGAAACCCAAGAGAAAAGACAGAAATTAAAACCAGAACCTGGGCAAACAGGCACAGGACATCACTTCAAGGAGAACATGACACATGGCCAGCTTTCTGCTGCCCAGCAAAGCGCCTAGTGGATGCAGCTGCCAAAGAGAGCTTGTTCCCAGGCTAACCTACAGATGCCATGGGCTGGAAAGTGTGTTCAGCGCCAAAGCAAGAGGGAAAGGGGTGCTGAAGAGAGCAGACCCCAATGCTACTGTCTCTGAAAATTGAGCTAATGGTGGCCTTGTTGATCCAAGGTTCTCCTGAGCACCACTTCAAGGGGTCTTCCTATGGGCACTGCGCCCACATTGCCAGTATCTTCTAAGAGAAAAATGCAGAAATTATAATATCTTCAAGCCATATAAAGTAGTACTACCCCCCAAAACCTTCTCACCTGACCCATGTAGCATGCAGACATTCCTTCATCCTTTCTTACATAATTATTTGTTTATTTAAAAATAATTTATGACAGGAATTTATATATCTAAAGCCTAGAACTCATCTGTTACTACCTCCTGAAGAAACAGCCCCGGGAAAGATTATCTTAGTGGTTCGCTGGAAGAGTTGGCATTGTAATGGCTGGGAGGATGGGGGGTGACCGGTGGGACCACAGCTGGGTCCTCCTTTCCTGTCTCCCTTTCTGCACCCAGGCTGAGACTCTCCACGGTTCACGAGCCCAGCAGCACTCTTGTGGTCCTGGAGTGGGAGCACTCAGAGCCACCCATTGGGGTGCAGATAGTAGATTACCTCATTCGCCAAGAGAAGGTCACCGATAGGATGGACCACTCCAAAGTGGAGACAGGTGAGCAGCACCTGGGCTCTTGTTGATCCATAGTGCTAGAAAGAAAACCTAGATGCCCTGCTTTGGCACTCCACGCCTGGCCTCCAGCATCCCAGAACAAGACAGGAGCAGGGGAAGAGCAGCTCTCGATTCTGTGAAGCAGCAGCCATCTTGTATACTTAAGAGTGCTTGCATGGGGAGCATCTGACAAAATCTTGTTTTGATTTTTGCTTTTCTTTTTGTTTATAAAGGAGGTGTCCATTTCATGGCCTCTAGGCACACTCACAAAGCAACAACAGTATACTACACTAGCTATCCTAGCCCACAATTAGGAAACAATTCTCTGCTAACCACTGCCATGATTACAGAAAAAAAAAATTCCTTTGCTAATAACTCCCTCCAGGCAGAAGCATGTGTAAACAGATGTGCTTGCTCCGTGTCTTGTCCTAAAGCAAACTCAGCTCCTGTCAGGTCCAGCTAGGAAAGGGAAGTTTTAAAGGAGTGGAAACACACCATGAAAAGTATTCCATGTCTTATTATTTTATAGTCTACATGCAGGAAAAGGTCAGCATAAATCATCCTTAAAACTTACAAGGGAGTTCTGCTCCCAGCAGGATGGTGACGTCTGTAATTTCATTCGGGGTAAATAGCCCCTGCTGAACCTGCTGTCAGGGCACGGAGACACATACCGTTGTCTCTTGGCATGGAAAGCTGTCTACTGCTTCTTTTGAAGCTCTTCCTGGTGCACGCACACTGCTAAGTACGGAGTGGCCTTTGACCACAGTAGTTCTTCTCTGTCCATGCCAGTAGTGTTTCATGAGAGAGTTCACAGATGTGGTATGGATGTCTTGCCTTAGTTGTTTCTGAACTAACTCCAGAAGAATAGCTTTAAGTTGGTTGGTGAAATATGAAACAGACAGAAAAAGAAAATCCTTCCAGGTATCTTTTCTCTACTAAGAGTTTAAGAAGACTGGCCACCAAGCAGATGGAATGAGTTCTTACTGAGTTGATTTTATCTCCTCCTTGCTTGGCCAACTCTCTCTCACCCATTTCCCACTCCTTCCCTGTGGCAGAAACCATACTAAGCTTCGTGGATGATATTATCTCCGGAGCCAAGTCCCCTTGTGCCATGCCATCGCAGGTGCCAGACAAGCAACTCACCACCATCTCGCTCATCGTACGATGTCTGGAACCTGACACCATTTACATGTGAGTAGTACAGGCCTACTTCATGGCGTCTTAGCCTGAAAGACCCAAGACTCCATACTGCTTCCTTCTTCCACTTGAGTCCCATTAGAGAGTGGGCCAAAGACATTGAGTCTTTGAATTCTTAATCCAGGGCCATTACAAAGCACCTTTGTGAATGGTGAGTGCTTAGGTATTCAAGTGGGTAGGATCTGGAAAGATAGCAGCCCTGTCCTTCAAAGTTTTGTAACAAGCAGGTAAAAGGTATGAACAATGGATTTGACATAAGACAGAATAAATGTTAGAAGAACAAGGAAAGTGTTGAAGGGGTGAAAAGAAAGGAGGGATTAATTTTAAGTAGAGTGGATGTCTTCTGAACTGGGTTTTATAGAATTCCAAATACTAGAGTAATGGTGGAGCAGACATAGTGGGTTCTGAAACAGCAAGACTAAAGGTGAGGGGGCATGGCGATAAAGAGGGCTGCCTCAGATGGGCAGTAACAGACAGAGGAAGACAATGAGAAAGATAGGGCCGGCAAGATAGCTCAGCGGACTAAGTACCTGCTTAGGCAAGCGCAGTGACCAGGGTTTGATCACCGGCTCTGCATGCTCCTCCAGCTCCAGGCCCTCCTCACCCCCCTGGACTTGCTGAGTGGTCCAATGAGACCAGGTGTGGTGGCGCACGCCTGTAATCCCAGAACTGGGGAAGCTGAAAACAGGACAGGGGAGCCAATCCTGGTCCCTGTGCTTGCCTAAGCAGGCACTTAGACTGCTGAGCTATCTTGCTGGCCCTATCTTTGTGGCCTATCTTGTGCCCCTCACTACAGGCCCAAGCCGCCCAGTGAGACCCTGTACCAAGGAAAGAAAGAAAGAAAGAAAGAAAGAAAGAAAGAAAGAAAGAAAGAAAGAAAGAAGTGCTGTGTGTCGGTGGAGACTAAAATTTTTTTTTTTTGAGGAAAGGAAAGAAAGACCAAGAACTGTGCTTTTGAAAGCTAGCTCCAGGGGCCCTGAAATAATTGATTGAGCCTAGAAGTGATCAGCACTTTTTTTGGAAAGAAAATGCAGTGAATTATATAGTGGTGTTTGGAACAGTCTCTTTGGACTCTTCCCACATCTCTCTTTACTCAGGGAACAATTGTAAACTACTTGTGAAGCATATGCCAAGGGATAAAAGAGAGTGCTAGAAGCTAAGTCAGGATGGAAAAATCTGAGGGCTCAGGCAGAATACAGGGTCATGCAGTTCGGGGGCCTTTGGACCTCATCAGTATGAAAAACATTTAACAGTTTACAGATGAGGTCACAGGAATAGCGTCAAGGTTTCCAGAATAAACCATTCCCACTTCCACAGTCACGGAGTTCAAAGATGAAAAGCACTAGAACTTTGAGTGGCATTGATTGCGATGAACGTAGGTGTTGCAGCTCAGTATCTTCCGTACAGGAGTAAGGGCTGGAAGCAGAGCCTGTGCACGGCAAAATGCAATACATCAAGACAAGCAACATTCTAGAGGGCTGGGAGAGCGTGTTCTATACATAGACGCTCATACAGAGATTGAGGAGTGTGGTCTGCTGTGTGTCACGACCCTACCATCCTCACAGCACTTGATCTGGGGCAGCTGCAGCCCTTCTTGGGAGGTGGACAAGTGGATCGTGGAAAGAACAGGATTTGGGAGTGTAGCCCCTCGGCTTGACATAAAACTTCACAAAGTCAATTAAACGTTCATTGTTGGTTACAGGAGGGCCTCAGTAATTCCTGTCATTAAGTCACAACTGTCAATTAGGAATGTCAAAATGCAGTGAGCACAGTTCCTTTAAGACTGTCACCATGACCCAGTCTGGGAACCTCCTCTTATCGGCATGAATCAGGCTGAGTTTCCTGATCAAAGATTTGAGATCCATACGTTCTCCTACTCCCACTCTCCCTGGAGGTCTTTAGCAGCTCCCCTCTGCTAGGCTGTAAAACAAACTTCCTGCCTGTGTTGATTTTTGAAGTTAGAGACACAGGGGACCAAGGAAGAGACAGCCAGTGTCCACCAGGTGGCACTACAGATCACAGGAAGAAGGTGCCCGGCACAGCGAAATAGTTGCCTTCTGCACAGGATCCCGGAAACTGCTTCCGTCCCTCACACAGCGACAGAGGCAAGAATGAATGAGACCCCAGCTCCGTTTTGTCCCGAAGCACCAAGGAACTGTTGAGTCCCTTAAACTTGGAAACAGACTTTCTAACTTCTCCTGGAGTGCTGACTCTGGCTGGTATTCTTTGTTAAATGTGTCTGGAAACCCTGGCTGACAGGATTTACTGATCTCATCTTACAGCTAAGGAAACTGAGGCTCAGGAAAGCAGAGCCGCGTCCCCAGACTCGTACAGCTAGTTGTTTGGGGGCGAGGGCGCTCGTCGGCGACTGCAGCGAGCCTGTGTTCCCTTCACGCGCTGTGTCTTACTCCAGGGTACCGGGAGGATCTAGGCTTACGATCTTATTATGTCTCATTAACACACAGCTGGCTCCTCACTACTGGTCAGGTAGGCAAAGCTAAATCTCGGTTAGTTTCCTTTGTCCCCTGATATATTTAATTCATTTTTTAAAAAAAGAACCATAATTCTGAGACAGGTCCATGACACAGTGTAGAGGACCCCGTCACTGAAAGGGATTTTTGAGTGTATCTGGCCCAACCTCTGCGTTTTCCGAGTGGGAAGGTGAGTGACCCTCTCACAGCACTGCTCCCAAGGGAGACCGCAGACATAATTCGGAGGGGTCAGCAGATAGCACCAGATTTGGCAGGGGAGGGTAGCAGGCCGAGCAGCCAGACCGACGCAGGCGCCTTCAGATCCTCCACCCACGTCAAATCCCAGACCTTTCAAACCTTTCCCTGGAGCCAAGCCGCTCTCCACGCACTTGCGTGCGCACACCCCAGGCAGTGTCATCACCACGTCTCTAACTACGCACTGAGCTGTGGAAGCAGTGGAAGGAACCCAGGAGCTTCGGACAGAGCAGACAACGTGCTTGCACGTGAGCGCTCCGGGTTGGAAGCAGGCTTAGCGCTTCTGTCCAGTAACTCCAGCTGACTCTCGCTGTCCTGAGTGTTTCGTGGCAGGAACAGCAGCACTGACAATAAACAGAGAAGCGCCTCGTGGATCCTGCGCATGAAAATGTGTAACGTGCTTCACGTTCCTTGTCAAATAAATAGCTGGTGTTCTCTTAGTGTCCTTGAGGGGCCGGGGAGCTGGGATGCTGAGGGACAGTCCTTGAGTCTAGCACTCTCTGTCCTCCCCATCAGCATTTCCTTTCTTAATATCTGCTTCATGTGAAAACCTGCCAATAAAATAGATCCTAGAATGTAAATGTTACCCAAGTTGCCCTTCAGAGTAATGTGAGAAGTAGTGTAAGTGCAGACACTTTTGTTCCAGCTCGGGATCTGATACCATTTGCTTGGAACTTAGAGCAGGGCAAGATATAAAGCAGAGCTGCCCTGGGAAAGTGGCGCAAGCTTGGGGGTGAGGCAGGAATGGATTCCACCCCGATTTCTGTGTGGGAGACACAGGAAACTGTTCTGCATGAGGATTGCAGACCATGAGGCCCAAGTCTTCAGCCCACCTCACCCCTGAACACCTGAGCCAAAAGTGGTCTGGGAGGAGTCAGGGAAGAGCAGTGGTGCCTGCTCAATAAATCCTGTCAGCCAGGATTAAGGGAGAGGCAGGGAAGAGCAGTGGTGCTCCTGGGTTGTGGGACTTGACTTTGCAGTGGAGATGGGCTTAGGTCTGATCAGGTATAAAAGCCTCAGTCAGTTACTGATATTCTAAATAGGTATTAATGACCTTGAAAGCGCGCAAATCAGTCACTAATCCAACCCCCAACAGGAAGAGACCCTGTCCTGTATTTATGACATGACTTGCTTCCCCATTTGATTTAATCCATTTTAGCTGAGCAATGGTGCTTGTAATCTCATTGGCTGACCATAATTTTGTGCCACCTCATGCCCACCTAAGCGAATTCCCATGTTATCCACCACTTTAGACCCACTTTAAGGTGGTTTTTCTCTACAAAAATCCCTGGAAGAGATAGCTTCCTGGGGGACCACCCACTTGGGGCCTCCTTCCTGACCCTCTCTCAAACAGGAGCTTTCTTTTCCCCAATAAATATATTCTGCCCATAAAAAAAGACATAAAAGCCTCAAAATGTGGTGGCCTCAGTCCCAACTCTACAAATAAAATCAAGAAGTTGAGGTATGTAGGACCAAAGGGAAGGAAATGCCAAAGGGGCCAGCGCTAGGCGTGGAGGAAGGCTGGTATTCTTCTTAGGAGCTGTATGGGGCTGGTGGTAAGGGGGCAAATGCCAAGAAGGGAAGGGTGGCAGGACTCTGATGGGATCAGGGTCAGGGCTGGGTTTAGTGTAAAACAAGATTGTTGATCAGAACTCAGGAGCAGGGCATGAGGCAGAGGCCAGAGGAATGGATGGAGCTCCTCCCATCCCCTGTGTGGACTGGGGAAGAAGCAGAGCACCTGATCCTGATCAGATGGCAGGATGGGCAGCCCCTTGGGTGCTACCTGGTGTGGCCTGGGCTGCCGTATTCTGTATCGTGGCAGGTCATCACTTTCTGGGTGCCCCAGTGCAAGGGTAGAGCTTGCCTGCACGAGTCCCTTTGATGCTAGTGGGGGGTGGCAAGGCAGAGGGAGGAGAAATGACTTCTCAGAGCACATAGGTTCTCACTCTGAGCATTTTCTGAGTTTCTTTGTTGGGAGGGAATGGTAGACAGGTGGTGGGGTCTTTTCTCTCCCCAAAAGAACACATATTTTCTTGGAACATATTTTCTTGGAATTTGTACTTCACCACTACTACAGCTTCTGTACTTGCTGACATGTACCCAGCCCACTCTATCTTGAACTTTTTCTCTTTCATTTGCTTCAAATTCTATTTGCCAATCCATGTAACCTTCTGTGGAAACACAGAAAAAAAGAAAAGGGGCAAAGAAAGCAGTGCTGTATGATTTCCTCTACATTGGCCAGGCTACTTGTCCGAGGCTCTGGGCAGATGCTGGAGCTTGTTTTCATTGTGATCTTCGAATTCCTGTCTGAGTAGTGGAGCGTGGAATTTCTCATTCGTGTCTATCCAGTTTCTTCACCCAAAGGATGGAATTGGCCCAAAGAGGAAATTTTCCCTTTGCTCTTTGACAGCCAGGTCTTCACCTTCTTCCTGGGATTGCCTGGGTGCTGGGTGCTAAGTTGCTGTGGGATCAGAGTGTTTCCCCCTGGATTCCTGTTCCTCCACAGGCAGCAGCTTGGTGGAACAGAGGGAGCTGCATGAAGTGTCTGGTTGTAGGCAAGCCGAGGGAATCTCCGCTCTGTCTGTTTCACTTCTGAGTCTAAAAAGTGAAAGTGTTCTCAGTCCTTTGCACAGAGATGAGGGTCCAGTATAGGGCAGAAGGAAAGAGAGCACATAAGTGGTTTATGCTCCAGGCCTTACCCCATTTCATCCTCTCAGAGACTTATCGTCACCCTTATTTCACAGACAAGAGAAGGAGTGGCTGAAACTCCATGTGGCCTCAAACCCAAGTTCTGGCCACTCTGTGGTTGTCAGAATTAAATTGGCATCAGAATCCTCTGGAGAGCAGCTGGGCACATACACCTGTAGTCCTAGCTGCTTGGGAGGTGGAGGCATGAGAATTGCATAAGACCCAAGAGTTAGAGATCAGCCTGGGCAACATAGCGAGAGCTTGTCTCAAAACCAAAACAAATGAAAACAATTAAGGAAAAGGAAAACAGAAAAGCAAATTACCCGGAAGTCTTGATTGAGTCCAGGCTTCTATTCCCAGCCCTCCCTCATAGGCCTGGGGCAGGGCCTGAGAATTTTCAGTGCTCACAGTATGCCAAATGATGCTGAGGCTGCAAACCTGGAGAACCCATGTGAAGAATCAGGGCCCTGCAGAGCAACCCTTTCCACCAGATAACACTCCCATGTCAGCAAACATACACCTGAGCCCACAAGAGGCAGGAACAGCCACCAGGCTGCATGCTCTGTGGCTACAGTGGAGAGATTTGGGTGTCTCAGGATGACAAGAGCAGCCAGAGTCATGTTCTGCATGAACAGGCAAAGCTGAGCCTCCGGCCATGCTCTCGTCGGTAATGATCCCCTCCCACCTTCCTGCCAGGTTCACCCTTTGGGGAGTGGACAATACAGGACGGCGTTCCAGGCCAAGTGACGTGATTGTGAAGACTCCTTGTCCTGTGGTGGATGATGTCAAAGCCCAAGGTAAGTAGAGACACTGAGATGGGCACAGTGCACAAGGGATGCCCCAGGGACTTCTCCCCTGGAATAAAGGGGCCAAGGGACTTCAGCCTGGAATGGGAAGAATCCATGGCTCAGTACAGGAGCTCAGACAACAGAAGTGCTCCTCCCTGTACTCTGTCCTCACAGACAGTCCCTAAGTCTAGAATCCCCGCAGGCACAGCAGCTGTTTAGGCACTTGCTGGGTGACCTTGACCCCTGCCCATAGGATATCAAGGGAGGCATGCACTCACTCCAAAGTTTTCTATAGATCTAAAGGGTTATTTTGAATGTGATTGTTGTAAGGCTGCAGATTTAAAATTAATTGCTAGTTCCCTCCTTGTCTGCCAAAGACCCATTGAAATCTTTACTTCCACATGTTAGAGTTATTTTATGCTGGTGCTTTGATAAACAATTGTCCTGGGGGTTGACCCTGGCTACTTAGGAAGAGTTTGTTCTAATCAGCATTCATTACTGAGCTGCTGCTGCCTGGCTGGCTTTGACATCTTTTGCTCTAAGGTTTTCACATCCCCTCTTGAGACAGAATTCTTCCATCCTTGTCTCTTTCTACAGAGCTATGGTACTAATTAAAGTAATCTGGCCAACCATTGATATCTATGGGGCGGGTCTGAGTGGATACTACTTCCGTGTTACATGCAGCATCAACCGATGCAAGAAGTGTGGAGTTTAATGAGAGGAATGTTGTCGCCATGCTGATTCACTGATACTGCACAAGTCACCTTGCATATGGGACTTGACTGTATGTATCAGATTGACCAGGAAGAATACATTTTCAGAATGTCCGACAGTGACTAGGATGATGCCAAATAACTCAAAGAAGAGTGACTCAGACCCACTTCAACTACAATCACCAATACTGTGCTGTAGAACTTGTGAACACACTTTCATATTTTAATCAGTGTGGCTTTTTGAAGCCATGGTATTTTCACCACCAACATCTGGTTATATCAAACCCCATTCTTAAACTGTCCTATAGATTTCCATTTTGTTTGTGACAAAAACATTTCTGACCAGGTATGTTAGGACCTAAGCAGCTGGCCTTGGTACTCTTTTCCAGCACATCCTAGCTGTGATGGTTGATACTTTGTATCAACATGAGGTCTAGAAGCTGAACTAAGTAACTCAGCAGCTCTACCTACTGCGGTGTAAAGGATATGTCCTTACCACTAGGACGTTGTTCCCTGAGTCAACTTCAGAAGTTTCGAAGGTTAACCAAGTGACTTCATAGGGCGCCAAGGTCCTCACTTTGTGAATATCCTGAGCCTGTGCATGAGGACTCATGGAGATGGTGTGAGTGCTACCCCTGCCCTGGGTGGGGGTGGTAGCTTGCTTACAATATAAGGGAGGAAAACAGGCTTGTCCTTCCCCTCCCTCTTGCTGTTGCTAAATTTGTTATTTTCTGCCACCTTGTACTGTTGTGTGTGCCACACCACCCTGCCTTGGAGCCAAATGATTATGGACTGAAACCTCCACAAACTGAGTTAAATAAACCTTTCCTTCCTTAATTTTGGGTGTCTGGGTACTTTGTCTCAGCAAGGAGAGGAAAGTACCTGAGACCACCGTGCACTGCTTTGCTTGGTCTCTCCATCCCGGCCCCCTACCTTCCTCAGTGCCTCCAACGTCCTGCCCACCTCTGCTGGGGGCCTTTGCATATGTTGGTTCCCTTACTTCAAAGACTCCCCACCCTCACCCCTTCTCATAGCTTAATTCATCCCCACCTGCAGATCTCTGGTCAAGCAGGACTTCCTCAGGGCAGAACAGGCCAGGAGCCACCCTTGGGTACCTCCACAGTACCATGATTGTTTCCTTTACAAGGTTCACCTCGGTTTGTTGCTATGGTGATGCACTAATTGCCTCTTTACCCCCATGGGACAGTGAGCTCCATCAAGCTAGGGGCCCAAGCTCCTTTTGTCCACTGTTATATACCTGCTAACTAGAAGGCAGCATGACTGAATGGTCACAGAAGAACTTAGCTTCTTAGAGCTGGCCCCAAGGCAGGGTGGCATGGCACAGGGCAGCAGCACAAGCTCGAACTCCTGCTCCATGTCTATCTGCTTGATATCGAGAAGGTTCCTCCATCACATGCCTCAGCTTATTCAGCTGCGAAATAGCTGCAGAAGGAAATAGTTGTGCCCTCATTCACAAGCCTATAGTAAGAATAAGGTGAGTTTATGTAGTAAAAACAACCATAAGTAGTAACTATTCACCAGTTGTTAGGAATCATTATCAGTAACCAAGTACAGAGTCCGCCCTCTAGTATGAACCCAATAAATACTTACTGAAAGAGTGAATGAATGAGAGAAGAAGATGGAGTATAGTAAAATAGAATAGAATACAATATTGCCCCCCATTTTATTGATGTGGAAATTGAGATTCAGAATAGTATAAATGAAGTGACTAAAGTCATAAAGCTTTTAGTAGAACAAACACTCAGACTCGCTCTTGGGCCCCAATTCTTATTCTGTTTACAATATTGCCAGATATTTAAAAGGGTTATTGTGTGATGGACTTAAATTTTTTGTCGTTGAAAGTGAATAATGCAGGGAAGAGTCACCTTAAAGGAGGGGGCAGCAAGTTCTTCCTCTCCAGACTGTCAGTGTCCCCTGGAAAGTTACAACAGTGGGGAACCCACACCTGGGAGGCAGGTGTGCCTCTCTCTGCAGGGAGTGGATAAGACTTTGAAGATGTCTGAAATTTCTGTATCACAAAAACAATCTTGGGTCGAGCACCCGAGCACCCTAAGTAAGAGTCTGTGTATCAGGGAAACATTGCATTCACAGAATGTCAAATGACTTTTTTTTTTTTTAATTCTAAACCAGAGAGGAACAAGTGGTCAGAAGATGCCTTCACCATTTCCAGGTTAGTTTGTTGGTGACCTGGCAGGTAGCTATCTTTCAGTTGCTTGAGTAGCAACAGGTAGTGAGAACTTTAGGGAGGTAATTAGCTGGTGGTGTGTGGGCAGCATGGTGCTACCTACAGGGATGGCTGAGTGGAAAGTTGACACCGGGAGAGTACACTGGGTCCTCTCTATGCAGACACCTTGAGAATAAACAGCTAATGGTCAGTTCTGAACATAGGGAAGCCTATGTGCACAGGCCACTGCCCTGTTTTTCTGAAGGAGTCTTTTGGGTCAACTCTGGTCCTACAGGGAGGATCAAGATGAGCTCTGTCTGCTTATATTTCCTAGCAAAGGAGGGTTTCTGAAATCTTAGTGGACCAGTTGGAAGCAGAAGAGACAGTTTCATGTTGAAAGAATGAAATAATGGACTCAAGTCCTGTGATCTTTCAACCAGGGAGAAATCCTGCATGGGAAAAATCTAGAGATTAATGGGCTAGACTAATTGAGGGCATCCCTGCAAGACAATAGAGTTCCATGAGTGTTTCCCTGAATGCAGGCTTCCCCAAGAGGGTCATTTGTGTCCATGCTAAGAGCAGTCCTCTTGGCTGGCCTGAATGCTGCGGCACGGTCTCCTGAGATTCTTCACAGAGCTTTCCTGGAGGAAGCCTCGTTCTGCTCCACCCTTCCCTCCTCTCACCTTGGTGGTAGCCATAAGTATGAGGCCAAACTTTCATTTGCTCCTTCCATGGACTCTTATCAGTTTCTGGTACTAGACACTGAAGAAACAAAAATAATTAGACTCAGAATCTGTTCCCAAGAATTTATAATCAGATGCCATAGATTTATTAATTCACCTAATGAAAACTAGATCCTCACTAAATAACTGTCCTAGGCAGTAGGAGCAAAGTCCCTTGACTTACACAGCTTATATCTTAGCAGGGTGATAGACAACAATAACAAAATAATCAAATATATAAGATGATTATATATGTTATTGAGGCAGACTATCAGGATATAGTCTCAGGATAGAGCTCAAGGATGCAAGGGTTAGCATGTGGACCAGAGTGGCTTGGGAAGGGCCACACGGGCTTCATTCCAGAAGCAGCAGTGCAGACACATATGCTGTGTGTAAAGAGAGTGGAGAGGGAGCGTGCTAGACAGAGAAGCTCTTTGCGACTCTGGGCAGATCCCCTAGGGCTGGTCATCAGAAGCAAGCTGGACTGTCCTGGGATTCTGATGAGCAGCCCCAGAGGATGTGAAACAGAAGAGCGACCTGATCAGACATGAAGTCATATCAATTGCTTTGACAACTGTTTCCAAAGAAGCCTCAAAAAAAGGGACTCTAAGTTGGAAGTGGAGCCTGTGGCAACTCAGAAGAGAGAGGAAGGATGGTGTACTAGGGGAAGGGGACAGTTCCAGAGAGGGTGTGAAATGGTCTGATTCTAAATATTAGGATTTGTCAGTGAAGTCTCAGAGGTGCACTAGTCCTACAGCATCTTGTGAAAAGGTGTACACTGCACACCGAGGGATACCACTGCCTTCCTGGCTCCTGCCCCCAGGCTCCCCATGATGGCTTTCACAGAGAAGGCAGAACAGGGGCAATCTGGGGTGCCAACAGTGGGTACATGGGTTAGGTCAGGTTGAGCAGGAAATAGACTAGGGCCGATGCCAGGAGAGAATGGAGGCCTCAGAGCACTTGGGTGCCCATCGTGGAGGAGCAGATTTAGGAGCAGTGAGAAAAGCAGAAACCTTGAAAGGAGGCTGCGTCCACAGTGTTCACTATTCAGATTTACTGTGTCAGAGATGGAGCACTTCTCACAGATGATGCTCCGCTTCTGGTGGTTGGAGGTCTCTAGACCTCAGTGAGGCTTCTCCCTTGAGGAGTGAGATCATCCTTGGTGGAAATGATGTGGAGTAAAAGCCAAAGGCAGATAGATTCTTCAGTGGATGGAGAACAGTGGTCAAGAAATGAGTATAAAGAAATAAGAAGGGCAATTTTGAAAATGAAAGGACTCTAATATATATGTGGAGAGAAAAGGAATAGTTTGAAGATGGCTGTGAGAGCAATCCACCCTTCTCCAGAAGGGTACAGGAGAAGGACTTCTGGGTCCTGAAGAAAGCATCA